TACCAACACACTTATGTCAAGAGATATAACATAGCAGCCCCTGTTGTACCAGACATGATATCATACGATCAATGTCATGACATTCAGTATGACATCCATGACAACAGTTCTGTCATCAACTCCTTCTGCATCCATGACAGCAGTTCATCCATGACAGCAGTTCTGTTCTCTACTCTTGTTAACTCCTGCTGCACATAGCTCCTGCTGCACCAGATGTTAACACATGACAACAGTTCTGTTATCAGCTCCTGCTAGCTCCTGATGCACCGCTACTCTTGATGTTTCTCACACATGACAATAGTTCTGTCATGACAGAAGATGGATGTCGTGATGGATGTTACGACATTCAGCATGACATTCACATTTAAACACACCACATCAGTTCTTTCAGCATAATAGATGGAGATGTTATAACATCCTACTTAACATCAGGGCAGGATCTTGTTTTACCAAAATTTAGCCAATCATAGAACCATGGACAATCATAGAACCATGAAACTAACACAAAATTTATGCGCAAATGTCCTCCCGATTTTAAGCTTTCCAATTTGACGGCTACCGTGGTTCCCATGGTCTTTCCTGCTCCTTCGTCTTCGCCCGAGATGAGAGGATAGCTTGTAAAGGGCCTCCAATTTTAGACATATTATGTGATTTATAAATGAAAGTTTTTTGCATTCAAATCTCACTCTTTTCCTTTCTTTATTTTACTTTTTTCACAAATAAAAAATTGCAAAATTTTCTTTTATTTTCACCTTTCATATAGCTCATTCTATGCAAAATTCATAAAAATGTAGAGAAACTAAATGCATTGATAATAACATGGCAAACATCCATTGTAACTCTGGGATTCCGATTAACTAAGTCGAAGAAGATAGTGAGAAAGATTCTGAATTACCAGCTAAACTAGCAAGGCTCATTAAGCACGAGCAAAAAGAGATTCAGCCACACAAAGAGCCAATGTAAGTCGTCAACCTAGGTACTGATGAAGTCAGAAAAGAAGTCAAGTTTGGGGCATCTCTCGCCAAACATGTACACTTTGAGTTGGTCAAGTCATTGAAAGAGTATATTGATATCTTCGCCTGATCTTATCAAGATATGTTTGGTTTAGACACTAACATCGTTGAACATCACTTACCACTCAAGCCCGAATGTCCTCCTTTTAAGCAGAAGCTCAGAAGGACCAGACCCGATATGGCACTCAAGATCAAAGAAGAGGTAAAGAAACATTTTGGTGTGGGGTTTCTTGCCACTTCTGAATATCCTTAATGGGTTGCTAACATCGTCCCGGTTCCTAAGAAAGACAGGAATGTCAGAATGTGTGTGGATTATCGAGATCTCAATAAGGCAAGCTTGAAGGAAGATTTCCCTCTGCCTCATACTGATGTTCTGGTAGACAACATTGCGCAGTTCTCGGTCTTTTCATTCATGGACAATTTCTCAGGGTACAATCAGATCAAGGTGGCTCTTAATGATATGGAGAAAATAACCTTTATCACACCTTAGGGAACATACCGCTACAAAGTTATGCCATTCGGTTTGAAAAATGTAGGGGCAACCTACCAACGTGCCATGGTAACTCTATTTCACGATATGATACATAAAGAGATTGAGTTTTACGTAGACGATATGATTGCCAAGTGCAAGACTGAAGACGATCACTTGGACCATCTGAAGAAACTGTTTGCCAGGCTCCGAAAGTTCAAGTTGCGGTTGAATCCTACAAAGTGCACCTTTGGAGTCTGATTTGGTAAACTATTGGGTTTTATTATGAGTCAGAAATGCATTGAAGTTGATCCCGACAAAGCTCGAGAAATTCAAGACATGCCACCTCCCAAAATTGAAAAAGAAGTCTGAGGCTTTCTGGGACGACTTAATTACATATTCAGATTCATTTCTCATTTGACAGCTACCTGTGAACCAATACTCAAATTGCTAAGAAAAATTAATCGATTGAATGGAATAATGATTGTCAAAAGGCATTTGAAAAAAAATAAAAAAGTACTTGCAAGAACCACCGATCTTAGTACCACCAGTTCCTGGTAGGCCTTTGATCTTGTATCTCATTGTCCTAGATGAATTTATGGATTGTGTATTGGGTCAACATGATGACACGGGAAAAAAAGAACACACAATCTACTACTTGAGCAAGAAGTTCACCGATTGTGAGACTAGATACTCACTCTTGGAGAAGACTTGTTGTGCTCTGGTTTGGGCCGCTCGATGCCTAAGACAATATATGATTTCGCATACTACTTTATTGATATCCAAAATGGATACGATAAAGTACATATTTGAAAAGCCTACCGTCACTGGAAGAATTGCTCGGAGGCAAATGCTGCTAACTGAGTATGACATCCAGCATGTTACCTAAAAAGCTATAAAAGGGAGTGTCTTGTTTGACTACCTTGCTCACCAACCAATGGAAGGTTATCAACTAATGAAATTTGACTTTCCAGATGAGGACGTTCTGTTTATCAGAGATTATGAAACTCTAGACCTCGACATAGGACCCGAGCCATGGGTGTGATGGACATTCGTGTTCGATGGTGCCTCTAATACTCGAGGTCGTGGAATTGGTGCTATCCTCATCTCTCCGACGGGTTTCCATCTTTCCTTCACCAACACATTATGCTTTGAGTGCACTAACAATATGGGTGAACACAAAACATGTATCTACAGAATTCAAGCAGCCATTGACACGAGGGTTAAGATTCTTGAGGTCTATGGGGATTCTGCTATGGTAATTGGCCAAGTCAGAGGGAATTTTGGGACTCGGGATACTAAGTTGGTTCCATATCAAAGACACATTGCAAAATTGATTCCCTATTTTGATGAAATCATTTTTCATCATATTCCTAGGGAAAAGAATCAACTAGCTGACACTCTTGCCACCCTGACATCCATGTTCAAAGTCAAGTGGAAGAACAAAGCTCCCGCTATCCGCATTCATCATTTGAATGAACCAGCACATTATCTAGCAATTGAGAATGAATATGATAACAAGCCTTGGTTCTACGACATCAAAAGATATTTGGAAAAACAAGAGTATCACGAGGGTATAACTATCACTGATAAGAAGGCTTTTAGATGGCTCTGTGCCAAATTCTTCTTAAGTGGGGATGTGTTGTACAAAAGGAATTATAATTCCGTGTTGCTCAGATGCATGGATAAACACGAAGCAAACACGATCATAAGATCCATCATGAGGGTTATGAAAGTGTACATGGCAAAGGGCCTGCCATGACTAAGATGATCCTTCGAGCTAGTTATTACTGGACAACAATGGAGGTCGATTGTTACAATTATGGCAAAAGATGTCACAAATGCCAAATCTATGGGTGTGGAAATAAGCAAAGAGAATGCAAGAATAATAAGATGAAAAATAATTTTTCTAGTTTGAAGTTGCATAGGTCGGCCTATTGAGGTGTTCAAGCCGGCCTGTAAGGCAATCTGAGAGGCGACCTGTGCGTAGATCCTACAGACTTCGTTCTTGGAGTGCGAGATCCGATCTGTAACTTAGATGTGCTGACCTGTACTAAAGCTTAGGATTCCATAGGCCGACATGGACTCCTATAGGTCGGCCTGTGGTGCTATGTTGACACACAAAACTTTGTTTTTGATGTGTATGACATGCTTAAGACCTATCAAACTTGTTCAAAGAATATTTTTATGCATCCTAAGGCTAAAATGACAAATGCACATCTAAACTTAGGTTGACACCGTCCAATATACAAAAACGTTATGATATACTACCTTGTTTGACATCATTCAAAACCCGATTGAATTTGTAGATAACACTCACAACAAAGGCATGAGATTATTAAGTATAAAACTACTTAAATTTAGTATTCGACGTATTGATTGCTTTGACTGAGGCGGTGAGTTCGACTCGCTTACCAAGTGTTTTTGGGACTTGGCATTTTCTTGATTTCATGAATTAGGCGACCTAGAAACCCACGAAGTCTGGTTTGGAGGAATTTTAAGAACATATACACCAGATTAGGATCACTCTCTCTTCAAAACATGTCTAGAATCTCAAAAAGATTTGCAATGATTTGACATATTCGACAGGAATGGAGACAATAAATACATAAATTAAAATACAAGCACTTCAATCATGTTTCGACACCATACTACAGAGTTTGACAGAGAAACTCCTCAACAAGGATAGTTAGAGGATGTAAAGACGGTTTTTCATAACGAGAGTAGTTTAGAGGCAGTTTTCAAAGACAAACACGTGAAAAAATATTAGAAAATAGAAGTCCACACAGTGGGATACGTGTTGAGTACTAGCGTTGTGATAGTTATCAACGGTTAAAAAAATGTAGTATAAAAGCAAATTTCATTCATGTAACAATGGTTCACAAATTTTATCATTATTTGTTATAGAATTTGAATATTCAAATCTCAGAGAAAAAATAATTTGTTAGAAAACATGTAAATGTAAAAATTTGCGTTCTCTTTTCTTAACTTTTTAATCCAAACACTTGATTTAATCTCTTATATCTTTTTCATTTGTTTTGTTTATTTTACATCGTCGAACAACTTTGTATTATTCATATTAAAATACTGGTCCAATTTATTTACATTCAACCGTCAAATATTAAGCACATACATACTTTCTCAAATCTTTTTATACAAAATGTCCAACGATTTTTTGTTTTGAATATAATCTTTTAAATGAACGGAAATTTGTAAATAGATTTGTTAAAAATACAAGAAACAACCACAATATTTTGTCTGCAGAACGTTAGCCTAAATTCAACAAAACTCAGTTATTATTCATTACAATACAAATTGAAATTTCAAAACAATAATCATGGCTATCTAAATATTAGTAATAGTTTGTTTACTTCAGAATCAAAGGACTCTGAGTATATATATATAGTAATAAAGAGGTAGTAGTAGATTATAATGATCCACACCACACGCATATATCACATATGTATGCATAAAATTACAGAACCTCTGCATTTCCATCATTTGTTGACATATTATATTCAGAATGAGCTAGCCAAGTCATCTTCTGATGATTCTTTGGTAACCACAGAAGCCAAACCAGAAGAAGAATTTCCATTCACAGCATTACATTGTGTTCTAATTTCCCCTTGAGTTCCAGTCAAAACTCCAAGGTTTCCCATCTTTATCATTGATGCCACAAAGTTTTCAAAGAAGAGAGTTTGATTATTGATGAAACTATTGACAATAGCAATAGTATCAGCACCAGTAGTGGAAAAAAGCTCTTGGTCACTCTGAAACAAACCCTTTCCATCTTGTAGATTGGAGTAATAGTTTGAGTCAAATGTATCAGGTGTGGTAGGGTCCAAGTCTGTGAGATTTGTACCAGGTCCACCATTTGGACATATTGACTGTAATGTTTGTAAATAGGTTGTGTTGAGAGTCGTATCAGGATTTCCAGTGCTGTTGAAATTGTATAATCGGCCGACGAAAAATCTGCATTGTCCTCTTCCAATTGTATGACCACCTAAAAAAAAATATTGAAACAAATTAATACAATCCTGTTATGAGCCTATCTTTTTCTATTCTAACATATATTTTTTCAAGGCCAGAGGCGTCAACCCTGTCCCAGACGCTAAGCTAACTCTAAGTAGCGTATGCTTTTGGCTGACGCCCCTGAGCATTTTTGTTGTAGTGATACCTGAGAGTGCGACTAGATCGGTTGTATTGAGGTTTTGAATAGCAAAGGTAGATTTTAGTAGACTAAGGTTGAAAGTGGGGCCTGGAAGATTTTGAGTAGCAAGGGTTTTATTTGCTGTTAAACTATCCCTTCTTCCCAATGGAACTTGCCAAGTAGGACCTTGAGCCTGCAATACATATTGAAAATTATTTTCCCACAAACTAGGGAAGTTATGAAATTGATTCAAAAGTAAGAATAAGAATGAGGTATACATACCAGATCAGAGGATATTTCAGCAGAAAGAGCAAGAATATCAGCACAAGAAACAGTATTAGGACAAGCATTTTCCACCGCAGTTTTGATCTGATTCACAACATCCAAACCTCTTATGGAGTTATTATTCGCCGGTGCAGTTTGCTCACTCACTATTGTAGCTGTATCATTCAGCAAAACTGAGCCATCACAACCCTACAATACAACAAACAATTAGTATATATACTTGAACTCGTTTATGACATAAGGTAAAATACATACTTGAACAAAACAGTCATGAAAGTGAAGCCTGATGAGACTCGCAAGCATACGAGGATCTGTCTGAGAAACATTCGTTAGAACTCCACGAACAATGGAGCTAACGTTTGGACAAGTTGAGCTGTAAAAAGATGGATCAAGTTGTGCATTTGAAGAGAATGGTACTCCTCCAATTAGAATAAACACAACCACACAACAAAAAAAAGCTCTTGAACTTAGACCAAGTGGATTCATTTTTTCTTTCTCTGTCTTTTTCCGACAATGTTTGCAGTTATGAGCAACAACGTGAGGCTTTTATTTAGTTTAAAGTACGTGGAATTTTCTTTCTTTGCTTTATTTTTATTTTTATGTGGCTTCTAAAAAGATAGTTGTTGTACTCAAAGAAAAATTATAAGTTTAACACAAAAATGAATATTTAATTATAATAGAAAATAGGGCTACTCAATTTGTTAAATATAACAAAAAAGTGTTTCATGAATATGGATTTAAGCATCAAAACTCGTTTATTGAAGAATAAAGAAGACGCTGAAAAAAGATAGAGTTGTTGAAGTAAAAAACAAGTTAGACGATTTTTAATAAAAAAGTTAGTCATACATGCTGGCACTTGATAACCTCAGTACTAACTCCATGTAAACTATTTCACGTATTTTCATAATTCAAGTGTGCACTTATGCTCATAATGTAAATATAATAGTTCTATTTCTAATATTTGATAGTAGTTTTCAAATTCAAATTAACTAAAATAAAAACTGTGAATTTATTTTAAAATATAAAAATAACAATAAAAAATATTATTAGATGTGTTCGGATATTATTTTATAAAAATTATTTGAATCGAATTTTAAATTAATTTTTTAAAATTAATTCAAAAATCGATCCAAATGGGGTAGAGCAACAAACACATATATATAGCCTTAATTTATTTTTCATTGATACATATTTTTAAATACTATTTATTTTAGTTTTGATAAAATGTGTGAACTTCATGCATTAATGAGTTGAATTTACAATTCATGAGACTCTTGTACTTATAGGAGTTTATGTATGGAGGTCTCATGCATTGAGAGTTTATGCCACCGTGCGAACATCCTTCTACACATGTATATGGTGATCTAAGTTTATAAACTTAAACATAAAAGAGTTTGATGTAATCTATCATGTACTAAAGTATATGATGTAATTTTGAATTACTCTTTTAATACTTCCCAACAAGATCAAGGAGGGATGTGATTCGTGACCTTAAACTTGGTTCGAAAGACTTGAAAAATTGTTGTGTCAAGTGGTATTGTGAGGGTGTTTACCACTTGCACACAATTAGGAACATGTTGGATCTTCATCCTCTCTCTCTCTCTCTCTCTCTCTCTCTCTCTCTCTCTCTCTCTCTCTCTCTCTCTCTCTCTCTCTCTCTCTCTCTCTCTCTCTCTCTCTCTCTCTCTCTCTAACAAAGAGGATGTTGAGCTCAATATGCTTTTTCCTCACATGAAGGCTTAGGTCGTGTGATAGGAGCACTGCACTGAGGTTATCACAAAAAAAAAACTAGAAGGATGGAATGACATGGCAAATTCATTGAGAAGAGATTCAACCCAAAGTAGCTTTAAGGTAGTGTGAGCCAAATCACGATATTCAGTCTCAGTACTTGATCTAACAATTAAAGGTTGCTTCTTGGTGCTCCATGACACGAGGTTTTGGCCAAAAAGATGCAGGAACTTGAGGTAAACCTACGATTAAATGGACCGATTGCCCAGTCTGAGCCACTATAGGCCCTTAGGGGGAGCTTTTATGATAATGATGCTTGAGTGAAAAGTAAACTAAGTGTGAAGGTACCACTTAGATAGCACAAAAAATGGATTGCATGAACAAGATCTCATATGCATTTGCAATAGGATCTTACATACATGCCATGTTATGTACTTGACTAAATGCCTTGTATGCTTGCACTCCTACGGAAAACCCATTTAATAACGATTGAGAAAGATATATAATCAAACGGACCCAGGCATTGTTATGTTGAGTTTCGTTGTATATATGGTACTTACAATCACGACACAGTAACCGTTGTAATAAACTGAAAAGTGTGCGCCCTATCACAAAGAATTTTCCAAAAGACCGTTGTGATAAAAATATTTTTTTCTGGTCAACGCAAGAGATATTATAACGATTATGATATATAACCGTTATTAAATATTCTGCAGAATTAACAAATAATATCCTACTTTTATAATTAATCATATTTTTTAACTTGTATTATTGTTCATCATATCACAATATAAAATACAACTCACATCTGCGATACAGTTATCATAATAATATTAATTGTATCATATTCATAATATCAAATAATTGTATCATATTCAATGCACCATAACATCATCACATGAATCCAAGGTAACCAATACATCAACCATTATACCATCAGTCAACATACAAACCTAATCAACTATAACCTATTTCATCATTGTTGTTACAAAAAATGCAATGAACACTCCAAATAAAAAAATCCAGGTAATCTTCCACTGTTTCTTCAGGATTTTTACCTTCAACTTCAATTCGTCCTCCTTGGCTTTGTAGGTGTTAATCATCTCCTTCTTCTCATTTAAGTTCTTTGCCATTGAAGAAATTATTTGTTTTACCCTAGGATCCATCTCCTCATCCATTCAAGCAAAGTGAGAGCATTTTTTGTATCCTTGAATCTTATACATCCCACAACCATAGAAACATCGGTCTGGGTTCGAATTGGTTCATGTCATCAACAGAGCGTCGAGACCACACTTGTATACGTACCTTGAACAACTTAAGAACCTGCTTTCATGGCTACAACTGGACTGCTGAGACATTTTAATGGTCTGGGTTCAAAAGGATCAAGAACGCAAGATATAATAAACAAAAATAACAACATTAATGTTTTAAGGTACACCTTTTTTAAAATTAATCGTGGATGTCGAACAAATTATGAAGTTTATCTAGTTTATGAAGCTATGAAGAAAAAGCACAAGGTGAATGAAGTTAGCACAATAGCTTCATACTTCTTGTATTTCTCTTCATAGATACACAGACCATATGTATCAACAACAACAACATTAATCAATAACATACAATAACACAAGATATTATATAATGTTTTAAGATACACCTTTTTAAAATTAATCGTGGATGTCAAACAAATTATGAAGTTCATCTAGTTTATGAAGCTATAAAGAAGAAATATAAGGTGAACAAAATTTACATAATAGCTTCACACTTCTTGTATTTCTCTTCATAGCTACACATACCATATGTATTTCTCTTGTTAAGGTGTTGAAGACGAATCTGAAAAAAAGAGAATATTCACCAAATGAAAAAATGAGAACCCATTTTTAATAAGAAACGTAAACGAAATCGAAGCATAAGTTTAATGAAAGAACCTCAAGTTAGCGATTGGTGAAGACGAATCTGAAGACGTATCTAAAGGTTGAAGTATGTTTAAAAGGTGACATGGATGTTAGGGTTATGTTATGAGAGAGAATAATGAAGCTATGTTAAGGTTTTCTTTTTTGAGAGAAACGACTATTATGTACTGAACTATAGATAGTTTCGCTTATATACTTTTCATCATGGCTAGAAAAAAAAAACATGATGCAATTTTCAAATTTTACAATGGTTGTATTGTAAAACCGTGGTTAAATAACTTTCAAATTTTACAACGGTTGGTTTACTTCATCGTTGTAAAATCATTTACAATTTATTTTTTAAATAATGGACTTTGTACTATAAAAAATATAGTTGCTGGGAATCGAAGCTTGCACACATCATTTATTACTACGGTTTTTAAGACAACCGTCATTAAATTACTGTTTATAAATCCAGGGCACGAAAATTTTAACCTATTACAACGGTTTATATGAATTCGTTGTAAACCTGGCGTTGTTGTTTGCGCGTTTTGTAGTAGTGTTGAAGTGCAACAAGTAGGTACAAGTCTGATCCGAATGATGCTTACTGGGTTGTTGTCAAGAATATCCTTAAGTACTTGAGAATAACTAAATACTCATATGATATATGGAGGTCAGGAAGAACTTGTTGTAATTGGATACATTGATGCTAGCTTTCAAACAGATAATGATGTCTTTAGATCACGATCTGGTTATGTGCTTTGTTTAGATGATGGCACTGTGAGCTGGAAAAATACAAAGCATGATACAGTTGTTGATTCTGCAACCAAGATCGATTATATTGTTACCTCAAATGCAGCAAAATAAGCTACTTTGATCAAGAAGTTCATTAGTGAACTTGGCATAACTCCTAACATTATAGATCACATTGGTCTCTATTGTGATAATAATGGTTCCATTGCACAAGCTAAGGAGCTTAGATCTCGCCAAAGATCTAAACACATACTTAGGTGATATCACCTCATTTGAGAGATAACAAATAGAGGAAATGTAAATATATGCAGAGTACTGACACTTGACAATGTCGCTGACCCACTGACAAAGCCTCTTGCACAACAGAAGCATGATGTACATACTAGATATATGAGTATTAAGTGTATGCCTGATTGCCTCTAGTGCTAGTGTAATATTGTTGGTGGAAGCCTAAAATGCCAATAGTTTTATTAGAACTTGATACTTGGATCGAATTATTTATTAATAGTAAAAGAATTTTCTTTGTTATGTTTGTTTTACCAAAAAAATAAAACAAAGTCCCTATAATATTTAGTCCATTTAATAAAACATTAAGTGTGACTTAATCATGAGATAACACTAAATATAACACATTATTCTTAAAGGTTCCATAGTCAAACTTTATTATGAAGTGAGAGAACATTAAAGCATTGAAACTATTATGTAGATAAACTGATGGTCACATATCATGAATCATGGATAAAAAGTTATCAAGTCTTCACATAAGTATGGATATTCGGAGCAATATTTATAATGGATTGACCCACCATCAGAATACTACATACAATGTTATGCAAGTGTCATAAATTATTCTCAAGGTGATAGTGGTGTATACCACCCTTCAACCTAAAACCATTATGGATTCTATATGTGGAGTCAACTACTTTATTATTAATTAAACATTGTCCATAACAAGATGACCATAACTATGGTTAATGGGTACTCTACAAATCATGCCGACAGACATGAGTGACCTAGATGAAATTTGTCTGTCCTACATAACGTGATATATGTCTAAGGGCCTAATATTGAACTAGACAATGGTGACACGGGCTAAGGCTTGTGTTCAATATAGAA